TTCACTGGCCGGTATCCCCCCCTTTCGCCCCCCTGACCATATATGGCCTTAATCGCTGTTCACTCTTCCCATTGGTCCCCTCTCCCAAAACCCCCTGCCTACTTCCTATATACACTAGTGCTTTTCACTTCGAAATCATTGCAGCTACTGCTCTCTGTATTCGCAACGCAATTCAACTGCCCTGAAGATGGAGGCGATACGTTCCTTCGAAACGTCGGCTGAAACAAAGAATACACGGCGCCAAATCCCAGAAGACGACTTTCTTCAAATGATTACCATATTCACACACTACTGAACTGCATCTCGTGTTTATCTGAGTATCCGCTAATTGAAATCCATAGATGTTTTGAAATATGTTTCCCATTGGAGTTGGTGGAATGAGACTGCTGGATACATAAGAACATTGACTGGATATGCAGAACATGAACATTTAGCAATATCTGGAACAGCACATGCTTTGCTAGAGCACTCCCGCCCGTTCTGGTTTGAAATTCATTCCTTGATTTGCAGGCAATATCGACTAGAACGGAACTTGCATTCGATTATATTAACATCCTGAATTGGGTTTTAGCATAAGAAATGGGTGTTCAAAGTGCCCGTGTTTCATTATACAGAAACCAAAGTGATAAGTTGTCCCTGTGCTTAATTAGTTAAGAACTATGCTACGAAGACATATAGGGGAGTGGAGGTATAGCTCCAATTTTCTTGACCTCGGCAGTAGATGGAGGTGAGTGAGCAGTTTCAAGCCCCGTTCGATTTATCCCCGGAGAAAGAGCCTCCGTTGTCTACTGGATAGGAGACTGGGTAAGCCTCGGTTTTGGTCTAGACACTGTGGAGAAGAGAAAATCTTACACTGCCGAGATTCGAACCTATGTCTTCTAGCCCGTCGCTGTACCGACTGAGGTATCGTTTCTCCACAGGAACCAAAACAGAATAAGAATAAAGACAATTCATAATACGTCATAATGAGCACAAATTACTTGAGGCTGGAAACAGAACCAGTTTCTACAGAACAGTAACATGTTATACCAAGTGAATATTTGGTCACTGATAACAGCAAACAAAATTCGCCACAATAAAGCACTCCAATTAGAAGCGTGCTCTCCTGATATGTAACGCAGTTCATAGTCAGGGCTGTGAGGACAGCAGAACCAATTGTAATCAGCGTTTCAGCAGGTTTGGAGTTCAAGCGGCGGGCACGGCCTTTTGATAGGGACATCAGATGAACCGAATTCTCTCGTCTGGAGCATAGGGTATTCGTGAAAATCTTTGTTTCATTTCATTTCTTAATATTAGACAGTCGGTAGGACTTTTTGGACAAGGGCTCATCCCGTCGCAAGGCCGCTACGCAACACAAACACAGAATAAAAGCAAACAGACACCCATGTCTTGAGTGGGATTTGATCCCATGATGACGATGTTCGAGGGGACGAAGATACAAGTATGTGTGTGTAGTGTGCAAAACTAGTATCTGTTGTGGTTAATCTGGCTCACCGGTGAGCTCTGTGAACTCAGTAATGGACCTTCGAATTCCACAGAATGCTATGGATCTCTTGACTAACTCAGCAACTATCATCTTCTCAAAAACTCCTCCGCTTCATTTGATTATATTAATGCAACTATTACTAGCCTTTCTACGTCTCTAAAGCACTTTACCTAAACAACAACGCCGAATTCTGGTAATATTTGAAGAATACCGTCTTCTAGTTTGTAGCGCCGTGCCCGATGTTTCGGAGGAATGTATCACTTCCATCTTCAGGGTAGAACAATCCGCAAGCGAGGAGCCAGTTTGAGCAGGTGGCTGTAGCCATTCCAGAAGACAGCATGCTTCATAGTCACGCCGTGAAAATCTCATATCTTACATGTGATACCATTTGACCTTCATGAGAGCTTCCCCATGCCTGTGTCAGCTCTCGGCACTCCGAGTTCCGAAATTAGATCACCTTAGTTCGGAACAGTTTCACGCAGCCAATTACGAGACATGCAACCCCCGCTACATCCATTCCGACAACACATCGCCCTAGAAGACACTGTTCCCACCGCTACACATCTCCCACGTTGCTATGCCGAAACATGTAGGCCTCTCAGGTAAGTTAAAAGGCACAATTTTGATCAGATCCAAACCACATCTATCGTAATTTAATTTTCGACAAAGTCGTTACTTTAGTTTTTGACTGATTGGTTCAATGATCCAGTTGACTTCTGGGTTTCGAATAGTCTCTCATCTTCTGTATGTATTGGCCAGTGTTACAACAAATGAAACAGCAATTAAAACATGAATTTAAGAACTACTTTTAACATTAATCTAACCTAATTTGGTAGCTATTGTTAATCTTCTGTCAAAATTGCAACACTTTTACATTCTACACTTCAACACTACATGTTTCGCCCTTAAACGGACCGCTTCAGGTGTTTTTATGTTACAGATATTTTACTAAAACTGTGTTAAAATAATATGTAACAGTAATTTTGAAGGATTTTATCTCGTTTTACTTAAGAAGACTACAGAATGTGATTTTAACACGAATTAAAACAGTGTAGCAGTTTTTTAACACAGTTTCAGTAAAATATCTGTAACATAAAAACACCTGAAGCGGTCCGTTTAAGGGCGAAACATGTAGTGTTGAAGTGTAGAATGTAAAAGTGTTGCAATTCTTACGGAAGATAAACAATGGACACTAATTTGAACAATTGCAACGGGATGCTGAAATACAGAATTTGGTAGCTCTGTTTCTTCAAAAAGAGTAAAATGGTTATGCAGTCATGAGTTTGTAAAAGTAACAAGTACGGAAAGCGTACTCCAGTGGAGTACACGTGCTTTCAAAATGATTTATTTGCGAATCTGCATAAGTAATCGATCGTGGTGTTCGAATTTTGTACGTATGTATCTGGTGTTGCAAAGATGTGAGATCATTGCATAGAGTTATAACTCACTTTCCCTTTTGTTTTTATATTTAATTATTTACTAAGTGACACGTAACATCGCAAAATATTATTCTAATGAAATGTCTGGTCTTTTAAACTCTATTTCATGTTGTATTCTGAAGGATTAATGANAAAATCTGTTTGGACTTCATGTGAAGCAGCGAAAATATTCAGCCTCTAAGGTAAAAAGCTAAAGTTGTCTTGTCTTGTCTTGTCTTGTCTTGTCTTGTCTTGTCTTGTCAGGTATATATTCGTCACTCTTGACCTCGGTAATACATAGAGGGGAGTGGTCAGCTTCACTCCCGTGCCGCTTTACGCCCGAGGAAATAATTCCTGGTACCCACACATACAACGAATTCGTCCGACCATATATAACGTCGACTTTTAATAAAAAAGTATAATCACAATCTCTGTATTAGTTCAGAGACAGAGAGAAACAGGCTACATGACACCTATTCTGAGTTCACTTCTTCACGTTTCATTAATATCGCGTTATGACATACTGACAAACAAAAAACAAAAACTCCGTGGTTTTAGTCCAAGAAACGAACTATGCCGACCGAGCGACCGCCGCTTGTCGGTGTAGTTAGTGCTTACTTTAGCGGATAGAGGGTGACGCGTGGTCAGCGCAATGAATCCCCAAGGCCGTTAATTTCGGTTTTCTAGACCGGAGCCGCTATTTCCTTGAAATAGCTCCTCAACTATCCTCACGAGGCTAAGTGGACCCCGTTCCAGACCCACTACATCTCAGAAAATCTGGTACCCCCGAGAATCGAACCCGGATCTTTGACCTCTAGACCACAGAGGCGGTCATACTCACACCTCCTTCGATGGTTACAAAAAATAGATCGGGTTACCTGCTTGTAGAATTAGGAATGCGTCCCTTCAATTGAGGTCGGCACTGACGTAGGGAATACTTGGAAGAAGCAGCCCAGTTACGAAGTAAAAAGGAAACTCATAACAGATACTGTATCGTCGATTTGAGTTTATCTGTCTCCTGGAGGGTCGAAACCACAATCTAAATTGGAAACTCACGAATATATAAGATATTTTAGCGTCGAGTTAACCTAGTCGATCGCCTGCAAGGTCAAAGTAGCAGTGCACTCTCGAAACTCATAATTAGCTTTTACCACTAAGAACACCTCGGTCTCCTGAAGGATTGAAAGCTCAGTCAGGATTCGAAATTCACGAATATATGAGATCCCATATCGCCGATATCACAGGCACTATGATCTGGAAGTTCAAAATTCGAAAGCTGCCAACATATCAGAGTCCGTACCATCACGACAGCCGAATTAGTTCTGTGATATGGAAGGTCCAAACAGCACTGTAGGTTCGAAACTCGCAAATGTATCTGACATTACAATTGGGACCGCAGAGTTAACCTTCTCTATTACCTGGAACTCCACATCCTGGCCAACATTTGAACCTCTCACTTTTCACGGAAGCTTTGCCGCTTAATTGGCCAACTCGATAAAATTAATGGACGGTTGATGGTGGCCATACCATACCGCAGGTTCATTTAATAATATGAATCAATAAAGCATAAC